GTTCCAGTGTTTCACCATCCTCATCGTGAAAAAATTCTTCCTTATATCTAGTCATAGGTTCTGCTATAGTTCAAGTCAACCTCACTGTTAAAAAAAGTCCATCTCATCCTATGAAGATACTTCTATACAGAACTTCCACTGAAAACATAATACAATTGTTCATAGTTCACAGTTAGGTCTTTATAGACTTGTAACACTGCTTAATGCTAGACATAGGCAAGCAAGTTAAGTCTTTTTCTGAACTTCACCTAATTTGACATTGGAAGTGTGAACTGAAAGCCTAAGATCAAAACTTAAAACTTGCATTTATAGAGCTGCCTAGGAGTTGCTTCTGCTACAGCCCAAACCTAACATTTAACAATGGATCAATTATGACAATTTATACATCAGACAATGAAGACTTAAAACTTTTTAAAGTAGTTCTGCAGTAGAGCTAGTTTAACTACTTACCCCAGATAACTTTGCCCCCTTCTGTCACGAGGCCAAGCTCACTCACGTTCACCTCGATGATGGTACCTTTGGTAATTACACCCAATGTTGTATACAAAGGAGAAGGAGGATTCTTTTTTACACCAAGGACAGGTAGGCAAAAAGTAGCTTTAAGTTCAGGATGTGTCACATGTGCCTTCTTGAAATGTAAGCCTTGTCGCATAAGGAGTGTTAGAATGAGTTAATATTTACTTTAAGCTTAACACTTTTAGCATTGTGTCCTCAGCTTTATATGTTTTAAGACACTGGGAAGAATGAAACAACCTAGAATACAGAATGCTATCTGCCTACTACAGAATACCAGATTTGTTTAAAAACCTGATTAATGACAAGATAAAGCTTTCTATGTATATTTTCAGGATGCCAATTTTTAATAGTAGTACAAGAAGAATACTTGCTACCTCCAATGGCTTCTGTTCCATGAAGAAATTAGGAGTTTATAGTAAAGCTACCAGTGCTACTGGGTTTTAAGACTAAACATTTTTCCTTTATTCTTGTAAAACTGAAAAACCTCTCACATACTGTAAAATATTAAACATTTATAACACTTTCTATCTAGTGACCTATGCTTTGTAAAGGGGACTTTACCACTAAGTACCATAACCTTTTCTGTGTCAATAAAAATCTATCCAAGGCTTCTGTGTAAGATGACTGTCAAAATAGTAACGAGGTACGATCCAATGGGCAACCTGTATAGTGATTCTGTTGATTCCTGTGAGGAAACAGGAACAAGTATTTATAGAAAAACTACACTATCTTAGTGAGTCTAATTTTTCCTCCTGTGCACTGCCAGGCAGCTAGAGCCCACACACTGTTCCTGCAGCTGTATAAGAAAAGGCCAGGCTGGAGGCATAGCATTTCCCTTGCATACGGTCACCTCTGTGCTTCAAGCTTACTTAACAAGCCACAAGGAGGGAGTTCTGGAGTCCCAGAACAGAGTTGGCTTCTGCAGCTGACAGAATCACAGCAGCCTGAAAAAGACAGAAGCCTCCAATTTTAAAAGTTATTCAAAGTGCCTCTGTTAAAGACCTTCCCATGCTAATTTGACAGCTTGTAGCTTTAACTTACTGGCATCATCTGAGTTATGGGAGTAAGAATTGAGATATTTCAACGCAGATTGTGACTGCAGGGGCATCTCCCCGCCCTCAGGCTATTCTAAGTTTAGATTTCTGCAAGGAAACTAATAATAACGTTCTACATCAGTAGTAATCAAGTGCATTATCATAGAAGAAAGTTTCCTTACCACAGGAACTCAAAGCAGTAAGTCAAAAGAATTATTACATAAACGTTCTTTAAGTCTCAAGAACATTACCATTGGTCGAATGAATCGTTCATATTTAGGAGGCTTCCTAGTAAAGCCATCTCCAATAAAACAAACTTTTGTAACCGTTCTCTTCCAGGCCTTTTTTCTCTTTCCTGTACTCATCACTTAAAACTTCTGTTTCTCCTTGTGCATGGGCCTTTGGCACAGGAACCTCCCATTTCCCCTGGAGGGGGAGGTGGGGGATAAGAAAAAGTCAATAGTCTTACATGCAGCACTGCTACATGAAAGGGGACAACCAAAGCATAAAATAAAATTTCCCTGAAGAGCAGTGATAAACCATACTTTTTATACAACTCATAGCTACTTATTTTAACTAGCATTTAAAGTTATGAAAGATCAAGATATTGCATATGCTTACTTTGTCCTAGATTGAACAATTATTCAAGGTTTCAGGTTTTGTACAATACCAATATTTAGACTTTGCTTGTAGGCTGTAAGTCACCTGAGCATCAGCAACACAAAGTAGTCATTGTCACAAGTAATAGTAAGTATCTGAATTTTATTACAGTTACTTACAGCTTTTTCTTTTCTGTTTGATCATGTTAGAGAGAACCTTAGCCCAGGACTGGCCCTCTCTGTCCAGCAGGTATGCTGGTACAGCTCCTTTAGGTGTTTTTTCATCATTCTTTTCCTTTGTATTTCTCTTTTCATGCATTTTAATGCTGCAAGGAAAGAAAAACAGTATTTATTTTTTTTTTAAAAACCCACTCAGTATTAAGAGTAGAAAAAAAAAAGCACATTTTTAGATATGATATCCTTTTAACTTAGGTTGTGCCTGCTCAAAATTTTCTTTTAAAAGAGATATTTGTAAACAAGTACATATTTATACTTAAGGAGTAATCCTAAATACTTTTCAAGGTAAACAAGTAATTTCACTTAATATAACAATTGACAGACTATACAGTGCATAAAAGCTCATCAATTCATGTCAAGATAGGCACACAAGACATTCATCTTACTAAGGAATTTCTGAATGGCTTAAAACAAGCAGCCTAACTCTCAAAGCCAAGCACTTTGAGAGATAGTAGCCTTCCTCTCTGAAAAAAATAACATACTACTACTCTTCTGAGATTTGATGGCAATGCTTACAAATCTGAGGAATGTGTGTGTATATGTGTAAAAGGGGTCATGTTTCATTAATTGGGGGGGGTGGGTGGAGACGGACAAACTAGTTAACAAACCCAATACCTTTACAGAGAATAACAACTGTCTACTCTTGGAAAACAACAAAAACAACAGGGTGGATAAATATTAAGTTCATTAGCAATAAACAAATATTGTTAATAGCTTTGATTTCAAGTTCTAAACAACAGAGAAAATTCTCAGAAAAATGCTTTTGTTTATCTGTGCTCAATATTGTAATTTATCCTGGAAGACAATCCTCATGTTCTGCTCAAACACTGTGTATGTTCTGTACTTTTTCCATTAACATAGTTTAAAAAACACCTGCTGCCTCTTACTACACTAATACAGCTGTCACTGTAAAAGCTCTAAGTAAATGCATTCATTTTTTTGTCATAATTACATCAATTATCACTACTGCTAATTAACACTTATCTTCTTAAGGAATGCTTTTAGGAACAGAATCGTTAACTGCTAATGGTAAACATCCATTAAGAGAGGAAGTCAGAAGTGTCTTCATTGTGGCAAAACCCAATTTCTACTACAAATTGAGCACTATTTAAAAGTATAATGTATGACTCAAGTAATAAGTAGCTCTTTGTAAATATATTAACGTCTAATCTCATCCTTCAAATGTCAGGATGACCGGACAGCGTCAGAGATGAGGCAGGTACTCACGTCGTCTTCATCTGCATCTTCTCAGCATGTCGCTGCTTGTGGTAGAGCTTGGCCTTCAGCCTGATCATCTTCTTGGCCTTCCCGGACCGCTCGTGAGCCTCGCGGCCTTCCTTCTTCTCCTCTCGTGATAGTCCAGGCGGTACCCATAGCACTTATGGTGCAGCTCGATGTACTCGTTCTGCTGTTGTGTGCACAAGGAAGCGTGGTAAGCGAGTAACAGCGGCCGGGGCCGGCACTGCCCCGTCACCAAGGCCCCGTGCCGCTGGGACACGCCGCTGGAGTCTGAGCAGGCCGCGACGCGACGGTGGCACTCTTAGTGCAGGGCAACAGGGCCAGCTCAGCTGCCTTCACCCCGGCCCCCACCATGGCAACAGTCCCGCAGTTCCTCCTCACACTCCGCTGACCCAGCAGCCTCCTCCGCAGCGAAAAGGGCGGGTCAGCTGAGAAGCGGCCCTAGCTGGAAACGCTCCCTCTTGGCGCTTTAGCTCCTCCTGGCTTCGCGTCCGACTTGGTGGGGCCGGGAAGAAGGAAAAACAGAACGGGAGAGGCCGGGACGGCGCTTTTTGCCGCCTGGGTCTGTCAGGTTGGGACGGGAAGACGGAATCCGGGGCAGTTAGGTGGTGGGGCCAGTGGGGAAGGAGCGCGCCTTCCGGCGGCGCGTAGTACTGCGACTGTCTTGGCTGGGCCTGGGCCCGGGCCCGGGCCCGTGCCCGGCACAGTTCCTGGGCGCCGTTCTGCTCCGTAAGCCGAGGTTTGGCCTTTTTAAAGTTCATCTAGAGGCAGAAGATAACGTAGGGGCCAGCTGAGTAACGTGCACGTGGTTCGTAACACATTAGGCAGGGGAATGTCAGTTTGCGAGGCGCCGGTTGTGTAACCGGGGAACGGCCGCCTGGGCCGCTCGTGGAGCTCGGTGAGGTGGACTTGTAATCGATAGCATGAAAGCACTACTTCTTTTCCTGTTTTCCTCTTTAGCGAACTATAGTGGTGACTGTAGAAAACGGATATTTGGCTTATAAGATGAGGTGATGGAAGTGAGCCGTATGCAAGTTTCCTTTATCGTGAAACTCTACCATGAAGTATAAAATTACTAGAGCTGTATATTGCTGGCTCCTTTAAGCAGCAATCAGCTAGGAATATTTTTGAAGCTTTTGCACTTGGGCATTGTGTCGCAGTGGGTTTGGCGATGCTTAAAAGCTCGTAGTATTTAATATTTTCTTTTATTTCTGTTCCAAAAACATACTTTTCCCTGACCCACCTCTTTTAAGAATAGAAGAGCTATTTATGCTTCACTGATTGGTAATCAGGACTCTAGAGCTTATTTCAGCATGAGTGTAAACTCTGATGTTAATTTTTCTGCTTTACTGGTTGTAAATTTCTTTGAGAAATGTATTTAGTGTTTTGTGGGCATACAGTTATGCTGCATTTTTAAGGCTTAATAACATTATTTTTACAGATCTGACACTGATTTAACCTGTAAAGCAGTAAACTGAAAAACAGTTATGTGATCTAACTTAAAAAACAATTAAGTTTCATGATTGATTTATGTGGAAGTAGTATAGTTACCTGCTTTCTGTCATAAACATTTTGTACAATGTTTACTTATCTTGGCAGGGAACAGCTTTAGAGACAGGAGCCAGAATGTTGAGAATTATGAGGAAATTTTCAGTGAACACATTGAGGTTATCAAGTTTGTGCAATGAGGTAAAATTTTTCCCAAATTTTGGTACTTTATCTGTGAGCAAAAGAAATACTCGGGTTACTCCGAATAAACATTTTTTTTTCTTTAGTTTAAAAATTTGTATCCAAACAGAATGCATAATTTCATGTTGGAATTGGGCTTCACGTAAGTCAGAACATGGAAGCTGGGTTTGTAATTTTTCTGTAAACTTTTTTAGTTACCTGTGATTTTGATTGCCTAACGTCTTTCATTGTTAAATATATATTATTTACATGACTATTTAGATGTATTTAAAATATTGTGGTTACTGACAACTTGTTTTGATGCTATCATAGATTTTTACTGGACTTCCCAAATAATATTGGGATTGGACTTGGTTTAAACCTCAGTGCTACCATCGTCATGCTTCTGCTTCTAAATAGCTGGTATTTTGAGCTTATATAATTATCTAACAACAGTATCAGTTCCTGCAGATATTTTTTGAGTTTATTTTTCTGTAACTGGCAAAAATATACTTACAAAGTAATTATTTATAATGATAACTTTTCTTATATGATTTTTTTCCACCCCTTTTAAGCATGTATATTTCAGGAAGACAAAAATGAGAGTCATAAGTGTGACACAGCAAAACTGCATGCTAAGAAACTACAGTTCTCCACCAGGTATAAGTTTAAATTATTTTCTTAATAGTAGGGATTACTCTAAAAATGAGTAAGAATACTTTCTGAATTGTGTTTTATTGTATTTTTTAGGTCATTATTTATAGAATTTGGTGTATGAAGTGCAAACAGAGCAGTTAAAAGGTTCAAGGACTGAAGTGTTTTGTACTGCTGCTGTTTTCTCAGTAGCTGTATGGTATAAAGCCTTTAGGAAATAAGAAAAAGAAAAGATGTAGATGTATAAGAAGTCAGATCAGCTGTGAAGCATGCTGGAACCCCTGTCCAGTTGCCTGAAGTATTAATTGGTTATCAAGTAACTGATGATAGCCAGCATGTTGGACAAGGGGAAAAAGACAGGAATCTGATTAAATAGGAAGAAGTTTTAAGTTATCATTAGTATATTTTCTTTTCAGACTCAGGATAAAAGATAATAAGAAGAATAAGGTACTTGGAAAACAAAATTTCAATTAAAAGGAATTTTTGCTTGGTTTTGAGTAGCTGCACTGAGATTAAGTGGAAATCGATTGACATAAGGTAGTGATGGGAGTCAGGGCTGCTTTTTCCATGATGCTTTTGATCAAGATGGAGATAGGAAGAAAATATTGGTAATTGGTGGGTAACCACCTTCCTTTTAAAAAAAAAAAATTAAAAAAAATCATTAATGGGATTCAGCACTATGTATGTTAGCAAAAGTCTTTAACCTGCACTCATGTACCTGAGAAGAAGATTTACTCTTCTTAGTTGCTAATGTCAATACAGTCTCTGTTGCTACATATTACTGTTTCTATGTACTTGTCTATGCAATGCCCCTGCTGCCTACTGTATTATCCCCAGTTTTGCTGTGCTGAATGCCTCAGTGTGTCATGTGGAGGCAGAGGTTCATTACTTACACAAGAAGATATTGGGACTTGGACAAGCAAGAAATCTCAAACATGCTAATGTGTTATTTTGTGGGTTATTTTAGAAACTGGAGGGGAAAACGGCAATGTTAGTTGGAGTTTTTTGGGGGGGTGGTGTGTTGGTGAATTTCCAGCCTGCTACCTTGCTTCTCGTAAGATCAGTCTTTCTCCTTATCGAGATGTTAACCTATAAGATGCCTCTTTAATGCCTCTCTGATGAAAGAGATGATCTGTAGATGGTGAAGGAATATTAGTTTAAATATTGTTGAATTCTGTTTGGCCTATCAAAGATAAACTAAAGTACTAGGAAAGTGAGTTCCTGAAACACAACTTAAATGGCTTGAGTAACTGAATTATATATTAATTTCATTAAACTTTTAGTTTAGCAGCTTATTTTCCAACTAAATAGGGTGTGAGAGAGGAAATATCTTTCAAGAAAATAAGAATTTAAAACTCCTCAGTCCCATGTTTCCTTAACCTAGGTCAGTTTACATTTTCTCCCCAAGAATTATGCTGTCTAGCTTCAGTACTTAAAGGAGAAATTACTTTTGAAATTTGTTATTTAATAGCCAGTTCAGATTTCAGATGAATGTCAGCATCACAGTTGTCTTGAACTGTGGCATGTTTTGTTATTGCTTCTGCAGAGTAAGATTTTACTGTGCTGATGATACTCTTCTGTGATGGCTTTTTCCTATTGTTTCTAAATTACAGCTGTTTTGAAGAGTTTCTCTCTTTTTTTGAGAGAGAGATATTAAAAATGAAGTACATACATACCTTTAGAAATTTGAGGTGATAGGGATTACAGATTGTCATGAGTTGTGGCTCTGAATCTTTTTTTGGATAAGCTTTTTAGGAGTTTTATTAAATATATTTAATTTTGTTAAAATCTATCATTTCTTCATTGGGATCAGTCTGACAAATTGTTGTTTTGTTTTGTTTGTCTCCAGGAGATGTTAAGTCTCTACATTCTGTCATTAATCCTCATATATCCAGGTACATCATGCTAGCTTATTTTTCAGATGTAACTGCCAGTCAGAGCAATTGATGTGATGAAAAAGTCATTGTGACTTTTGTGATGAAAAAGTCATTGTGACAAATTGATGTGATAAAAAGTCATGGGTTGTTACTATGCCCATCACGTGCATAGTTTATGTGCATGCTCTAAATTTAAGTTAGTACTTCCTTACTTTTACCCTTCTGACATTTGACACCAACAACTATTCTATATTGAAGAGAGGTCTTGGACTGATAAAACACAAGTCTCTCATTTACATCATCAGAACCAAAATTGGCCTCTTAGGGAAGCTCCAAATCCATGGTGGTTGCTGGGAGCTGAACGAGGGGGAAGGAATGTCTTGGCAACTAGACCACCACCATGGGCAGGGCTCTCAGCTGTGTTAGATGAGGGCCTTAGTAACGAGGGCAAGATAATTAGGGGCTGAGCTGCCAAAGGAATGGCATGGGGGTGAAGTTCCCTTGGAAGACTACCTATGTCCTGAAGGCAAATTCAGCTAGGATTAATGGTGAATATGGGGGCTGATCACAAGCCTGTGATGTGCAAAGCCAGTGAAGCAGTTTTGGAAGCCTCTGGGTGAGGCACTTCAGAAAGGAAGATTTGGCTGAACAGAATCAAGGACAACTTTGTGGGAACTTGGATGCTAGATTTGGGGCATAAAGGGTGTATGTGCAATGGATTGTTTCAGGCACCAGGGGTTAGGGATTGGGATGGACGAGAGGGTGGAGGGGCTGTTTTTGTCTGTGGGGAGGGCAGATGGGTGCAGAATGAGGCCAAGAAGTGGCCTTCCCCAGAACTGAAGTGTGGAAACCTCTTCCAAAACTTTTGAGTACTACCGATATGAGGGGAACAGAGGGCCCGATCTGCCGACCGGACCTATCCCATAGGGAAGTCTGCTGCCTCCCTGGGGCAAGGATAAGAAACGTTACCAGGAAGCTCCCCAGACTGGTGAAAGCTTCCGATTATTATCCACTAGTGGTTGTTCAAGTCGGCAGTGATGAGGTAGCTGATAGTGGCATCAAGACAATCAAAAGGGACTTTAGAGAGCTAGGGCGATTGCTTGAAGGATCAGGAGCACAGGTGGTGTTTTCCTCCATCCCATCAGTAGCCGGGAGGCATATGGAAAGGAACAGGAAGACCC